ACAACAGTAGCAGCAATCCCACGTCGACATTCAACCACGTAGCGAACAACATGCAGCTCAACAACATCGCGAATGACCAAGGTCATAGCTATTACTGTCTCTAAGGAGTCATTTCTTGGTGTGTAGTGCGCTCGTCAAAATTATTAGAGAGAAAGAAAGTAGAGAGCGAAGCTCTATCTTTCTCTCTCTCTCTTTCTCTCTCTTTCTCTCATGAGGAAAAGTTTTATTAGCGCGAGTGTGAGAACAATTTGATTTACATAAGATTTTCCTTTGTGCAAGAGAGATTATGGAAGGCAAATTAATATACAGAGTATAGCGTTGATTCTGTTTATCAATATAGTCCAACCGCGTGTCAATATTAGCGATATCACGCACAACGTAACATCCACCTCCTTTCAGGAGCGTCACCAGATGACGACATGATGGACATGATTGGCAGCACCACGATTAATGAATCACCAAATCCGATCCCGTCCGATGGCAACGACGAGGCAGCGATGGCTGTCATCATGAGCCTACTGGAAGCGGATGCAGGTCTGGGCGGCCCCGTGGATTTTTCCGGATTGCCATGGCCGTTGCCATAATGCATGCGCACTTTAGTCTGCAATTTTAGAATGCGGAAGAATGTCTCTCTTGGTCGAAAACAAAACGCGCCTGGAGCGAATGAATGAGACTTGGTGCTGAAATGGTGCTTTTAAGATAGGATTTCGTTAAGTTAAGCGAACTGTATAACTTCCAAACAAAACTTCTATATTGCAATTAATTAACCATCGTTCTTCATCGATATCGTGGATTCGTAGTCCTATGTATAAATATGTTTATATACTATAATTCCTGCCAACAAATATCAACTAACTGTAACATAATATCAATGTCATGATTTCATACTCAACAATATAAATGTAATGTTATACATGTTATACATACCAGTTACATTGTTGACTGTAAAATTATAACATTATTATGTCACTACTAGTTGATGTTTTTGAGAAGCTGGGCTTTCTTTCTCTTGTTGATTTTTCAAAAAGCCACTTTCGTGCGGCAAAGTAATTTACGTCTATATCAGCGAAAAATAAGTGAAGGTTGATGAACGCCCTCAGAGATTACAGTGGTGTGACAATAGTGCAGACATTAATGTGCGAATGTTTTCTTTTTTTTTTAAAGGGCATCAATCCTTCAACGTCAATACGGCCTCTCTTCAAGGATGAGGACTTTCAGAAAATGAATCTTAAAATACACCAGCCTCTTAAAGAGGTATACATAGGGCGAGAGCTGAGATCCAACGATCTTGCAACGAGTGTAACTACTCGTCGCCTCAATAACCGTGCGAATAACTACGTTCTAATGTCAAATTGACGTTATACGTGTAAATACGTAGGCATACGATGCATTGCACGCATGATATGCCGTTTAAGTGTACCTAATTAAATTGTAGGAATATTTGTATGCAAGGAAAGTAAATTTAACACAGTGAACGTACGGGACAAGTAAAGTTTACTCGTTATGTGTACAAATATAAATTTTCGAATACATTATCTACTAGAATATATTGATAACTAAATTACACGATCTGATGCTGCAATTTAGCAATTCTATATATTTTATTTTGCCATAACGTCTCGAATTTATGTGAAAATATCATAATAATATTTCTTAAGAGACACACGACGAGTAGAATGTGGTAAAGTAAGAACTAATGTAAATAACATGACATACTGCTGTAATTTATTGTTCGATATTAAAAAAGAGATAGCAAATATTCACAAGATATCTTGGTATCTTACATTCGGTATAAATAAATAATGATAAATCTCCTATGTGCTCGCGTATGAATTTGAGTTAATGGTTGTGAGAACTTCTTTCCTATATCAGTGGCGTATCTAGCCTTGAGGGACGGAGAGGGCAAAAGTGGAAAGGGCACCAATTATTGTGGAAAATATTCAATAAATAGGGATTAAATTCATAAATTCTATTTATTTTTATTCTATCAAATCTAATAACACTATTCTATTCACTTTTTTCTATTTACACTATTTATATATTCGATTAAGTATATAAATAAAAAATGAGCAAATACACAGAAGAGAACATTTTGTTCTAATTAACCCCTTCACTGGCATTGACATTATATGGCGTAAAAACTTGCCATCCTTCATACAATATATATGTAACAGTTATGATTTTATTTTGTTAATTAAAAATTGTTGAATATTCAAATATGAGATCCCGAGTTGCCGACTTTTGTAAGAAGAATATTGTGATTTTTTTACTACGTCAATATATAGTATTAATAATATTCCTAACTAACACAACACTTGGTTTTGTAATATTTACGTAACAGAAACGTGATTTTTAGGTCAAAATATTCGCACGTTTAGAGAACAAACGAGTAACACGCGTGTTACGGATATGTTAATCTAACAATAACGTATCTGTTGTGTAAATGTTCCTTTATTGTGGGGGCGGCTATCTTGTATGTGAGTGAGGCGAAGGGGGCAACCACCCTCTCATGCCCTTCCTGTAGTTACGCCACTGTCCTATATAATCTCAAAGTACATGATATTTTGAAATAGAGGAATTCTGTTAATATTTCTCAAGGACTATAATTAATATTCCTATTAACAAATCTCTGTGAAGAGGAATGTAATTCGAAATAAAGCAGACTGAAACATGGTAACAAATTCGTATTTTAGGGACTAAATTCACAAATTAATTCTGTGTAAATTTTTTGAAACAACATAATTTTCTGTACATTTCTACATTCATTGCCATTAGTATGAGTTCAGGCAAGAAATTTTTTTGTATACAAAAACGTGAAAGAAATTGATTACTTACGTCAATGTATACTAATGAAAAATCATCAAGTATATATATCCTGTATCCGCATTCTGATATGATTTATCGATATCTCCTAAATACAAAAATCATTGTTAGGTGTTTAATAGAGAAAATTCCTCAACTGCAAATTATAATAGGTACCGCGATTTATAAATAACTGTTTTTTTAGATAGACGCTATCATCTATAAAGTATTTAAGAAAATATTAATTTGATACACAATATGCTTCTTATACATACGTAGCTCTTCTGCACATTTAATATTGAGAATAATACTCCCTGTATTTATATTAACTCTTTTCTACTTTTGTCTTATTTATTAATAGATTTTGAATCAGATTCTTTAGATTATGTCATATATTTCTTCTTCCTTTTCGTTTCTATTTCAATCCGCAAATGCTTCCAACACGTCTTCAACAAAATTTGAAAAGTACATATTTTCGAAATTAAATTTTCGAATCGTTTCTGTTAAAAGTTCGAAAAAAAACCCAGATTTCTTCCCAAACATTTTTGCCCACCAGATTTCCCCCGTAAGGTAAAAAATCCCTAGAACTAGGGGGAAACCCCCCCCCTCCAATCTGACAACATTGGGCGCGTTCAGCGGACTCAACAGTTGAGTGAGCGTTCGCTGTTATTGGTGTATTCTTTTGGATCATCCAATCAGAATTTTAGATCTGGAAGAATACACCACGGACTAGAGTTCCTGGTGGAGAAGGTAGGGAGCAGTTCACTTGCACACTGGCCTGGTTTACATCGCTTGATTCGCGTACTAACTAGTTACTTTTTATTAAATTATCTTAATTTCAGCAATGTATTTAAAGAATGATGTATAAAATTGATACAATACGCATCAAAATGTTTAACTAAATACGTTTATTGTGTATACATTTACATATATCGTTGAAATTAAGATAATTTAATAGAAAGTAACCAGTTAGTACGCGTATCAAGTGCACGATGTAAACCAGGCCACTTGTGTAGCTATTGCCCACTGCCTATCACAGCAATTTCTACGTCGGAAATTAAAAAAAAATTTTTTTTCTAGCATTGTGATTGGCTTGTGCGCAACTGACTCGTGTGCAATTGATATACACCCGAGAAGGTAAAGGCCATCACACGTACAAAAATTTTCGTAAGGTCTTAAGCAAATCGACCAATTACAATCAAGATTACCATCTCAGGGTGCAAACTCATGCAGCGGAATAGCGTAACGCGGAACGAGAGTAGAACCAATCACGAGATTCTTTAGAAACACGGAATGCTCGTTATTGGTTCTGCTCTCGTTCCGCGTTCTGCTATTCCGCTGCATAGGTTTGCACCCTCACATTTTAATACGCTAAACTGTGATTGGCCGATTTGCTTAAAACCTTACGATTACTACTAAAAGTTTTGTACATGTGGTGGCCTTTACTCACGTCGCAAATTTCCATCAGAGATTTTGTTCTGGGCTGGAGTCACATTGAGCGGAAATTACAGCGGAACGGAACAGTGAACCAATCAGAACTCTACAATCATTCCGCTACTTTACTTTCTGCGATTGTGATTGGTCTCGCTGTTCCGTTCCGCTATGGATTTCCGCTCAATGTGACTCCAGCCATAGGCGACCAATGTGGAATGGACTTAATAGGCCTTCTACAATAAGCCATTACCTAAGTTTTAAGTATTAAGTCATAAGAAATTGACCATTCACAGTCGATTATTCTTCTCACATTCGATTGTGATTGGTAAATTTCTTATGATTTTACACTTAAAACTTAAGTAATGGCTTATAGCGTTTTTCAGTGGGAAAACTGGTGCAGCACTAGCGCCATGCTACCCAATCAGCATACCATATTTAAAAAATATTTTTCTCTCCAGGAGAAGGGAAAAGGAAAAAAGATGGACTGGTGCAAAAGTTCAGCAATAAAGAACAGACCTCTAATATTGACAAAAATCGTACAATTGTTTCAAATCGTTTTATCGATTGTTAATGTTAATAATAACACAGATGTAATACTCAAAACAGTATTTTTACATATAGATCCTGAATAGACATTTTTGAATAACGCGCAACAGTCCTGAATATGGCGGACTGTGTTCATTAGAAGTATCTTTACAATTCGACTATCGCGCTAGTTGGCGATGGGCGGATAAAATGTCTCAGGTTTCTAGTCTCTGTCGTTACTCGATCCATAATCGTAAGCTATAACAAATCGTGTATTGTATACTGTGGTATATTGAAAATGTAAGATTATTATTATTGAGACGAAATCCTTTATTTTATTACAAGTCATATTAAATGATTTTTGGTGTGCTTCTGGTATAGCAACCAAAAGTAACCGCGACTAAGGTTATCTTCGTTTTCAGCGATCAGAAGACAAAGATAACCTCAACCACGGTTGCTTTTGGTTGCTATACCAGAGGCACGCCAAAAGTCGCCTATTGTATTGTACGTTATATAAAGAAGTAGAAATTATATGTGGATTTAATTTTTAATTCCAGTCGCCGTCACATCGAGCATTATGAATTCGAAGAAGACTATAACCTTTGGCAAGATATGTGCCAATTTAAATAAACAGACGCCCGAGGCACCAGTTAAAACCTCTAGCTCCGGATTCGGGACTTTTGGTAAGAAACGTGAGGAGAACAATGTAAAGAAAATGGATGAGATCAGACCAGAGGACGAGGAGGAAACCCAGAGTATACAGAAGTTGATGGGTATCACGGGCTTCGGTAAAAAAGCCAAGTCTTTCGATGTGCAGGAGATGATGGAGAATATCACCAAGACTATCAACAGCAATAAGGTAACTACGATCGACCAAGAAAAATTCGACGAAGTTGCTGAATCTAAAGAGGACGAGGTAAACGATAATGACGATTTTATTGGTCCACCAATACCATTTCTGTCGCCTGTTACTTTGGAGGCAACCAAAGATTCAAAGAAGATGTATACCATGGTAAGAATTTGCATATAAATATTTTAGAATTTTTCAGATTTTTTGTATAATTTTATAACTTTAGAAAAATTTTAGATTTTTTTATTATGAGTTGGAACTTGTTACAAGGGACCAATTCAATTCTCTTTGAAAGATATTATTAAACATGAAAATCTAAGAAACATATATAATAAATATAAAAATAATTTAATGGGCAACAAGCCGAAATAAGAATATTACAATTAAGAAGAAAATAAATAAGATGTTAACAAATAATTAAAATCGGGATAAGAGACTTGTAGCGTCTCACAGTTTTTGAACATGGCCGGAGACGCTACCGCGTCTCCTGATATTCTCTGTTAAATTTCCATTAATATTTTAATTATTTGTTAACATTGAGAATGACCCGATCTGTGTCGAAACATTTGTTTGTCGTTAATTAAAATACATCTTATTTGTTTTTTTTTTAATTGTATATTTTTATTTTGGCTCGTTGCCCATTAAATTATTTTAATATTTATTATTGTCGAGTCTTCTTCTAATGTTATTAATATGTATAATATTTTAACAAAATACTTCAAAGAGAATTGAATCAGTTCCAGATAGTTGTGATATACTTTTATTGTTAGATGTGCTAAGAAACTCTATTTTTTTTTAGAATTCTTTATATATGTAAATTTTAAAACATTTTATGATTTCTAAGATTTTTTATTGTATAATTTCTGAAGAAAACTTATAAAATTTGAAAAAATTTAAGTTATTTAAAAAAAATCTTTATAAATTTAAAATATGACGAATACTTAAAAATATTGTGAAATAATATGAGAAATTTTTTCGTCTTAGGGTAAGAAGAACGAAAATGACGACGATGATGACGATGATGACGATGACGACAATGACGACAATAAAGAATCATCGGACTCTGAAGAGGAGGAAGAAATAACCTTAAAGGATAAGATTCCTTGTTCTCATGAAGTTTCAATGACTCATGGTACTAAAGCGGTAATTGCCATTGCTGCGGATCCATCTGGAGCTCGATTAGCGTCTGGATCTGTCGACTACGATGTCTGTTTCTGGGATTTTGCCGGTATGGACACATCTATGAAGAGTTTCAGGACCTTACAGCCCTGCGAGAATCATCCTATCAAGTGCTTGCAGTATTCCATGACTGGGGATGTGATATTGGTAATCTCAGGAGCGGCACAGGCAAAGGTTTTGGATCGGGATGGCTTTGAGAAATGCGAGACTGTCAAGGGTGATCAGTATATCACAGACATGGCGCGTACAAAAGGCCATACCGCCAGTCTAAATAGCGGCTGTTGGCATCCATTCATCAAGGAGGAATATCTGACCTGCTCTCAGGACAGCACCTGCCGAATATGGAATTTATATAGACCGCGTGCGCACAAGAACTTAATAAAATGTAGAGCGCAAAACGGCGTGAAGACCATTCCCACCACGTGTGCTTATAGCCGAGAAGGCGCGGCTGTCGCGTGTGGCTGTATAGATGGCTCAATCCAGATGTGGGATCACAGGAAAAGTTTTGTAAATCCGTCTCTCGTGTTACGAGGCGCGCACGCACAATCCAGCGGGGTGTCGAGCTTGAGTTTCGCGTACCTTGGACAAATGCTGGCAAGCAGAGCTTGCGACGACACTCTCAAACTGTGGGATTTAAGGGCGTTCAAAGTACCAGTATTCGAAGCTAAGGAATTATATTCACGTTACGACACTACGGATTGCATGTTCAGTCCGGATGACTCGATGATCGTCACGGGAGAATCTCTGAACAAAGGAAAGACAACCGGCAGAGTGCTGTTTTATGATAGTAAGACGTTCGATCTAGTCAGAGAAATACCTGTGACGAATTCACACGTAATAAAAACTCTATGGCATCCGAAATTGAATCAGGTATTCGTCGGTTGTGGGAATGGCATAGTCAAGGCATATTACGATTCCAAGAAGAGTTTAAGAGGCGCCAAGCTGTGCGTTGTCAAGACACACATGAAACAGAAGCACATTGAGATAATGTCTACTCAGCAGATCATAACGCCCCATGCGCTTCCTCTGTTCCGTCAGGATAGACCCAAGTCAGTTCGCAAGCAGATGGAAAAGGACAGACTCGATCCAGTGAAATCAAGGCGTCCAGACTTACCTATCACTTCCGGGCAGGGTGGCAGAGTGGCATCTTCCGGAGGAACTCTCAGTTCTTATGTCATACGCAATCTCGGATTGAGCAAACGAATCGAGGACGATCAGGATCCCAGGGAAGCTATTCTGAAGTATGCAAAGATAGCCGAGGAGGAACCATACTGGATCGCACCCGCATACAAGAGGACACAGCCGACAACGATTTTTCAAAGTGACGATCAAGACAGCGGGCCGAGCAATAAGAAACAAAAAACCTAGACTTTTCTAATATTAAAAGAACCTACATAAACATTTATCTTGTATATCAACAATATCAGCACTGTGTAATTATATGTACAGTACATGTAGCGAATTAATGGAAGGAGAACGTAATTTTGTTATAAATATTATATTATGTGATTATATTGTACATAATGCATCGTATTTGTTATAGTTATTTAATAGATTTTACTTTATTTGTCGCGTGTGAACTTTTAATTTGTATTATCAAATTACTCGCTTTTTGTATCTGATAAATATTTATTGTATATATATGTTTTCTTATAAATGTAAAGAAAATACATTTCATTTATAAAAAAAATGTCTTTTTCTTTTATAAATAAAAAACATTTAATTTATAAAAAAAATAAAAAAATGTAAATATATATTTTGAATAAGGCTTCGTTTACAATCAAATTTTGGAAAATATTGACTACATATTTATTGAAGCTTTCCAACAAAAAAAAATATATATATACATATATACCACCTGTATATATATAGCGATAAGTTTTCCTTATATTTACAATTTATTTCTTATTTTTGTATATATCTTTTATCTTTTTGTATATATTTACTTCTTTATTTTATATATTCTTATTTTGTATTTCTCACTTATCATCATACATATATGTATCACATTTTTTAACCACACCGGGTATTTAATATTTGTATATCCGACAGTCCGCAGTCTGTAAAGTGGGACGGAAAAATGTGCTGCATTACAATTTTAATAGAAGAAGAATAAAATAAAATTAGCGAAAAATAATTGTAACTTTTATAGTAATATTTAAAAATGTATAGTGTAATATTATTTTTATATAGTAATATTAAAAATGTTTAGTTTAACTTAATCTAAACATATATCGTACACATTTTGTTCTAATATGAGCTGTGTAAAAAGCTTTACTCTGTACATTTCTGTGTACATTTATGTTGAACAATTGGAAAATGCCCCTTTTTGCAAAACTTCTGTTATATATTTTAATTATAGCGTTATAATTTTCTTTCTATCAAAATATTTGATTTATAGCTAAAAGTATAGACTAAGTAAAAATATATAGCTGTATTGTGATAAAGAGAATATGTGTATTTCTTAATTTTCCTTTTAATTTCTAATTTATATTTTGATTTAGAAAGTCCTATACGATCCTATATAATATCTTCTAGTTTTAGATAAAGTATAAACAAATTCCTGAAATATTTTAGCTGTCAACTGCTGTAGCGATCCTGAAGTGATCTTTGACAGCTGAGAAATATATACAGTACCATTATTTCAGGAATTATTTTGCACTTCTATCTTCGATGTGATACATCGAACATATGTATATCTCAGTTTGCTGCATATTTTACAGGTTTTAGAATTACAAAATTGTGTTTAAAAAGAACTAAAAAATGAAACTGTACATAGCATCAGTGTTATACATGTTATATATGTATTATATATTACTTTTATTAACGTTTAAACAAAAAATACTGCAAAAGTACATTTTCAGATTGATTTTTAAAAAGTAACGGAAAAGTAACGAAAAGTTACTTTTCGAGTAACGGTAACGATCAGTACTTTTAAAAAGCGATAATTATAATAACTCGTTACTTTTTTTAATCGGTAACGAGTAACTGTACGTAACTTATTGTTACTTTTAAAAAGTAACTTACCATTCTCTCTCTCTCTCTCTTTCTCTCTCTCTCTCTCTCTCTCTCTCTCTCTGCTATTATGTACATATATATAATTAAAAAATTTTGCAACATATCTATTATTATTATTATCAGTTTTGTCTCCTGTTTACAATTTCTTTTCTAGATCATAAAGTTTTAATTGCGGTATTTTTTTAAACATGTTTTAAACAAGGCGTTTTAAGCGTTTTGTTTAAAACATAACCCGCTGGTATTTGTATTTATGCATCGTTGCACAACTTTTTCGCGCGCATACGGAATATGAACTTGTTAGAAAATATTCTAGTTCACAGTTTTCTCCGACAGGCGTGCTTAAATCAATTCTATTCAGCGCTTTTTCGACGCAATAGTTGCTGTTTGCTGTCCATTTACTCCGATTCTCAAATAAAATTCTCACTTGTAACGTTATAACTCAGTTGAATGTGCGTTAATTCCTTTTGCATTCTGAGAAGTGAGATTCAACTGTGTTTTTACCTACAAACTATACAAGATCGAGACTTGTGCTTTATTGAGTCTCGTAGACTCACTTTAAAAGTGAGGTTATAAACCTGTGTAAACGCGCGGGTGCCCGGTGTCCGTTCGGGTTACTCCATTTTTATCATCTTCATTGTTTACAAGATTACAAGTCGTCACATTTGATACTGGCCCGTAGCCGTATCGTTGGCGTTCACCGACGAGTGCCATTAAATTAGTAAGAAGAAGAAGCAGTGAGTTTTGTCTTCTTTTTTCTCCGTGAGTTGTATATACAATCACGTAAAGATAACTTAGTAGTTTTTCTTTTATAGCATATACGTTTATTTACGAACATGTCCAAGAAAACAACTATTAATCGTTTATCCAGACGACATTCCAAGCGTAAATCCATCGACTCCATCGGTTCTGGACATCTCGATCCTAATACGTCCATCATGGATGAAGGTAGGAATATCTTTCCTTTAACATCTCACTTATTTTTTGCTACAGCATAACTAAAAAATTGTAATTTTTGCGTTGCTTGCAAAAGATCAATAGAAACATAAAGAAAATAAATATATTACAACAATATATTAAAAGAATACACATTTTAAACGAATGCACTTTTATTCCATTATAATTATTATAATTATTACAATTATATCATTTTTAAAACTTCTAAGAGTAACTACAAAAATTTTACTCTCATCGCATTGTCTGATAATGGACTATTTTATAAATTTTACTTTGATTTAATATTATAAGAAATTAATTACGCACTATAACTAGACGATTTACTGTTTTATGGACTCTGGTCTTGCATTGAAATTATTGTCAACCATGCGAGTGAGAACTTATACTTATTTTATATATATTAATTTTTATATTTTTAATTTTATTGTTCTGTACATTACCGTTATGTTTTAACAACTTGCGATTATTATTTTTGTAACATTGATAATGACCTGATAGAGGTTGAAACGTCTGTTTTCTAATTAAACTATGTAATTTTAACTAAATGACAATCTTTATTTACTATTTTACATTTTAATGAATTGGTTCATAGCCCTTTTTCTTTGCATTATTTTTAAATTTATTGAGCCTCATCATAAACTTACTATAATTAGTATGTTATTATATATTAGATATATATTATTAATATAAATTATTACAATAAATTATATTTTAAAATTAATATTATAATATTTTAATAATTTAAAATATTGAAAACCAAATGAAAAGACAATGTCACAGAGTGATCTAAGCTGAATCACGGTGCTTCTGAATAATTGTGTGTGAATTTATATATACTACGAATGTAATTCTTCGATTGCGCACCAAAATTTTTCAGACTTGAAATCGTCTCCCGGTTGAATAACCTATTAAAAACTGTAAATAATTATTTTTTTTACTGTGAAAAATATTACCTAGGCCGGAAGTCAAACCCGGATTTCTGGCATTCCGTGCTACAACATAATTCAAGAAAATATTTTAAATATTGAAACTGATTTTCTGAAAACTTTATTTCTTAAATTATGTTGTTGTAGCATATAAGCGACTTTGTCTTAAGATATTATCTTTGTTATAGGTAAATTAAAAGTTGGAGATGGTTTTATGACTTTAACATTTTTTTTTCTGTAGAACAAACATTTTGGTGGAATGATTTAGAGGAGAATACATTTTCACCGCATTCCATGATTCGTACTGAAAATGAAACGGCTATGCAACTGAGTAGTAATTCAAGGGTCGATTCTACTCAAAATTCTACAACATGGTGGAAAAATTTGGAATCTCCTAATAAAGCAACTGCTTCAACAAGGCGTAGCGCAGGTATAAATAGAAAGAGGCAGTATATTTAATTTATTCTCTTTATTATAACTGAACTTCTTGCATGTTTTCTAATTGAAGAGAAAAAGAAAAAAGAAGAATTGTGCAAGAAGTTCAGCTAAAAAGAATAAATCTTTTAATTCTCTGTTTGCAATCTGGATTTTTTTTGACACAAATGAAATTTTACTTTCTAATTTCTCTTAAATAAAACAGGACAAAGTTTGGTTATCCCTTCTAAAATATCTTACTAAAAAACTGTTTGATAATAAAGTAGAGATGTGTTAAAAAATAATCTTTAATTTTTTCACAATTTTTAAAAGCCTAGAATACTAAAAAAAAACTTGGAGGAAGGAAAAATATGATTGCAGACAGAGTTTTACATCATAAATATTGTAGTACAACATTGTGTTATAAGTTATACTATTTTTTTTAGCGGTTGTTAAAAATAATATATTGCAATCTTCGACATCTGAGTCAGAGAAAGAGTTCATTTCAAGAAAGAAGAAGATTAATTTAAAAGCAAATAGTAGGAAGAGCATTAACAATGCTTTTGCAAATGCTTTGAATGATACCGAGGTAATTGTTCCATTAAAATTACGGATGAAGCAAGTCGACTATGAATTACATAGTGATTCAGACAGCAAATCTTCACAAGAAAAGTTGCAGGAAAATAAAGAGGATAGTAATTTGAACTCAATTGAGAAGATTTTCAAATCAAAACGAAGTATTTTTAGACCAAGAAGAGGTGGAGGTATAGAAGATCAAAACGCTTTTCAGGATATACTAACAAAAGATGTTTTGAATAGCAGCACGGTGGAAAAATCAATCGTATTTGAAAAGGAATCCTCGAAGCGTTCGATGGATCGAAATATTAATGTGAGTAAAGATCATATTGACGATCATAGGAAATCAATAGGAGCGCCTCAAACAAAGCCATTAGAAAATATTGAAACTGATTCCTTAACTTTAAATGTTGAGAAGGCAGTACCTGAGACTAATGCTGATAGTAGTCAAAGTAGTGTTATTCATCGCCAATATTTAAAACCTAAATCTCGCTTTATGCAGAAGGCGCGGAAAAGCATAGAAAAAAATGCCTTTGCAGATGCTCTAGCTGACAGTAACTCAAATTCGTTTACATCTAATCCAAATAAGGAAAATAATATTGATAAATCTTCAATGTCACGATCATTGCTCAGCCCTTTAAAAAGATCAGTCAATTTAAAGACAGCTAAGGCCAACATCGATATTATGCCTGAAAGTTCACCAGTTCGTAAAAGTCCAAGATTATCTTCGAGTATATCTAAAGAGCAGCAATCAAACTTATCGATGCAAGCTAAAAATAATACTGAAACCAATTTTAGCAGCTCATCTTTGGATAGTGATGAATCTCACGGACCGAAGAGGTCTATATTTTTTAAACCAAAATCAAAAATGCTAGAAAAGTTCCGTAAGCGTTCAACTAATCCGTTCGAAGAAATTGTTAAGCTAGGTAATATCAGTGATAGAAGAAGTAATGTTTCAATTAAAAGTAATCGTGCTTCTTTTAAGCGAGAAACTACAACAACAATTAACCGAGAAAGTGAATCTTTAGCAATAGAGGAAGACTCACAATCAGTAAAGAATAAAACTATGAGTGGGGAAAATTCTTTTGAAACAGCTTTCGATATATTATCAAACGTCGAAAAAAGTAGATTTGAAGAATCTAATATATTATCGGAAGACGAGAATGAACTATTAGAAAACAACGTTCTTAAGAATGCATCAAAGTCAATTTCTCGAAAGAATATAACAGCTAAATTGTCAGAAGAAAAGATTCCTAACCGCAAGTCCATTAGCGAAAAAACTTTGAAGGGACATGAACATGCAGATGCAATATCGCCCGTTGATAAGTTAAATACTAATGAGATGACAGTAATACAAGATGTAAGTGATAATAGTAATATCTACATAGATGTAGAACATGATTCTAGTACGTCGATATCAAACTCTAATGAGGGAACTCGTTTGATTCTACTTGAAACATCAAAGCTTGCAAATATAGAAGTACATGAAGATATTAATAATTCATACAATAATATAAATAAAGAACATGATTCAGATATGCTCAAACAATTATCCAAATCAAGCCCCAGTAAAAAAGATCGTTTGACGAATAACAGTTTAAGAAATAGGTCTGAAACAGCTATGAATATAGAAGTACATGAAGTTAATGGTAATTTACATGATGCAAGTACAGAAAATAATTCAAGTATGCTCGAACAATCTAAGTTAATTCCTAGTAAGGCAGTACGTTTAACGCGTAACAGTTTAAGAACTCTGTCTGAAATATCAAAGCCTGCAAATATAGAAGTACATAAAGCTATTAATAATTCGCGCAACGATACAAATAAAGACCGTGATTCGAATATGCTTAAAAGCACGCGCGCGCGATTGTCCAAATTAAGCCGTAATGAGGAACCTCGTTTGACGCGTAACAGTTTAAGAAATCGGTCTGAAACACCTGTGAATATAGCAGTACATAAAATTAATGATAATTTACACGAAACAAGTAGAGAACATGATTCAAGTACACTCGGGCAATCGTTTACGTTAACTTCTAGTAAGGCACGACGTTTAACGCGTAACAGTTCAAGAACTTTACTTGAAACATCAAAGCCTACAAATGTAGAAGTACATGAAGATAATAATTCGTACAATAATATAAATAAAGAACATGATTTAGATATGCTCAAACAATTATCCAAATCAAGCCCTAGTAAAAAAGATCGTTTGACGCATAACAGTTTAAGAAATAGGTCTGAAACAGCTATGAATGTAGAAGTACATGAAGTTAATGATAATTTACATGATGCAAGTACAGAAAATAATTCAAGTATGCTCGAACAATCTAAGTTAACTCCTAGTAAGGCAGTACGTTTAACGCGTAACAGTTTAAGAACTCTGTCTAAAATACCAAAGCCTGCAAATATAGAAGTACATGAAGCTATTAATAATTCGCGCAACAATACAAATAAAGATCGTGATTCGAATATGCTTAAAAGCACGCGCGCGCGATTGTCCAAATTAAGCCGTAATGAGGCACCTCTTTTGACGCGTAACAGTTTAAGAAATCGGTCTGAAACACCTGTGAATATAGGAGTACATAAAATTAATGATAATTTACATGAAACTAGTAGAGAACATGATTCAAGTACGCTCGGGCAATCGTTAACTCCTAGTAAGGCAGGACGTTTAACGCGTAACAGTTCAAGAACTCTACTTGAAACATCAAAGCCTGCAAATGTAGAAGTACATGAAGATATTAATAATTCGTACAATAATATAAATAAAGAACATGATTCAGATATGCTCAAACAATTATCCAAATCAAGCCCTACTAAAAAAGATCGTTTGACGCATAACGGTTCAAGAAATCAATCTGAAACACTGAAGTCTATGAATAAAACTATAGAAGTCTATGAGCGGTCTATGAACTTGATTCCTAATAATGAAGAAGACAATAATGTCGAAACATTAAAAACAAGTAAAAGTGGTCCGTTGCACATAATAACGAGAGAAGAAATACATTCTAAAGATAATACAAATACAGGAACACAGAAAAGCACTAGTCTGTCAACTGAAATGGAAATGACTGATGGCGAAGATGCAGAATCTGCGAAACAAACAATTCAACAAAATTCTTTAACGAAGCCTGGAACCAGTAAAACAGTAAATTGGCAAAGTGTGCAGAGTTCAAGTAGGACCAACATTATGAACAACAGAGAAATTGCACATAGACAAAAAAGTTTGGATAAGTCTCAAAATGACAGTATACCGACTAAATCATCAAGTAAAGATATTTCTTCCAATAAGCAAAGTTCATCCAAATCAGTGAGAAAAATAGATGATTTTTTCAAAGTAAAAGAAACTGCGATGGAACAAAGCAAACGCGCGCAAAAGTTGCAAGTCTCTGGCAATGAGAAAATGAAGAACCTTAAAATGGAATTAGAGGAAATAAAGAGTCGCAGGATGGCCGCGATGAAAATGAACCCGACAGGTGAAAAAAAATCTGCAATAAAACCGAAAAGAGTGAAATTAATTATGCCTAAACGAGATACGAAGAAGAAGAAACTCGAGAATTCTGCGACAGTAGTAGATAAGGCATTTCTAGTAAATGGAAAGGTATATAAACCACCGAGACTTCCTCGTCCGAAACATTGGGTCACAAATCGTCTTTATAAATTTCTGTGGAAACGCATGGAGTCGAAATACAAATTAAGCACAAGAGTAAAGTCTGAGAAATTTATGCAGAAATTAGTTGAGACAGTAGCTACTGTTGAGCGTTGTAAGAATTACGAAGATTATGACACCGAACTGGAGGCTCTGATGAAGGAAATGGCTCGTTTGAAAATTATCAATAATCGTATGGACTTTTATCATTTCTGTCAGGATTTTTTACCATATGATTTTCGTATTAAGGCCATACCTATGCTATTGCCCGGCAATAAAATTAATATTCCTTACAACCCAGAAAATGTGTACATTCCTTTACTTGATACGAATGAGCAATCGCTGGAAATATAATTACAATACGATGTACAATATATTAGTTATTTTTGAGTTATGTGTATAGCGTTTACGATTTTACGTCAAATGTACATACATGTATTTAATCTGTATAAAAATTAATATTAATTGACACATATATCAGGTGTATAAATATGAAACCGGAATTTTTTTTACAGAAAATACACTTTGTGTTGGCTTTTTTGATATTCCGGTTGTTTTTCACGCAAAGCTTGATTCAAATTAATCATTTGTTGTCAGTAACGTTCAGTATTAACGGTTTCGCCAGGTTTTAGCAGATTTCGATGGTTTTCCACGTTCTTCGTTTCTCACGTCAAAATCGCCACTTTTAAATTTTTTAAACCAATAAAAGCACTGTGATTTACCAAGAGCATGCTCACCGTAAGTTTCGACAAGCATTCGATGCGATTCTGCAGCAGTTTTCTTCAAATGGTAACGGAAAATCAATTGCTGTCGGCGAATCGTAGTTTCTAGGCGCAAAATTCGACATGTTCAACGCTATTACAAACTATACAGGGGTGCGTTCAGAATCGTCGTCCGGATGCACCCAGATGTTGTTTTATCCTTGTTCACGAATGATAAACAAGGATAACACGACACCTGGGTGCACTCAGATGATGATTCTGAACGTAGCCCTGTTGTATGAAACTTGTATTGTTGTGAGTTGAAAATCTTTGTCAGATGTCAGAACAAGGAAACGGCGTCAATGACGCGGTCTGACGGCAACTACATTGACAGCTATAGCCGTCTATTGGTAAATTCCGGTTTCATATTTATGATATATGATAATAGTATATTTTTGATAAATACAAATAAATGGAAATGTTCAAGGTATTGATGTTATACAATCTAAAAAAGTTCATGTAAATTAGAATTATTTTAATATTGTTTAATAAAAAAATTTTTGCAACTTGTATTCTCTTGATCGATTTTTGATATCATTTATTTTGGCGAATTTATAAAAACTAAAACCATTTTATATCAGTTAATTATTAATTTAATTTGGCCATAATTAAATTTAATTTATTTATAATCTCTTACTCAGTTGCAATGTAAATGAAATTTAAAAGTTAATTTAAGATTGAAAAAAATGGCATGAATTTATATTATTCCATTCTTCTTTCCTTTCTACCGATTATCTTGATGAATAACATTTTATGGCATTTTTAGAATTTAATTTTGATTTTGTGTATTATATAATGTATATGTGTATGCATAATTTAGATACATAGTAATGCATGTACATGCATATAAATAGAAACAAGAGTTATAAGAATTGTTTGCTAAATGAATATGTTAATAATTTAACATACTTAAATTGTAATGACAATTTAACATCCATTAGTTAAACATTTTATGTATTTATAATAAATTATATAAAATTTTCAACTAATGGATATTAAATTATTATAATTATAATTATTCTTAAAATTGATGGATTTTAAATTATTGACATAATTATTGATTTATCAAACGATTCTTAATTTTTTTTATATTTGTACATATTATAATACTGTAATTAAACGATATCATCAAAATATATTGTAATACTTGAAAAATGATCCTAGATAAAACGTTAAAGACAAATTAAAACAAAATCTCGAAGATGTCATTAATCGAAAGACTAGATATCTTACAGACGTCATGCGAATATTTTCTGATAGTTTTATAAGATACCTTCGAAATTTCAAGACAATGTTTACATGAGAGATTTCATAACGTTATAATTTTATTTTCTTCTCTTTAGATATTTGCACTCTCATCTTTTTACTGATACTCCGTTTGGCATGTTCGAAACATAAATCATTCCCACGCCTTTGATACTTGATACTTTGATATTCGCACTTTAAGCGATCAGTATTGCGTGTTTATTTACTTATTCCGGTTTATGTACGCATCGTTTGTTTGTATAACCACGTTTATATATAGATCTATTGTGAAATTTCTCTGCGGTTATATCTCCCTAATCTTGTTCGCTGACAATCTTTTTGCCCGTAAACACCTTGTTTTTCCACGATATTCACAACAAAAATTATTTATGTTGCTTCATGACACGGATGGATAGGACAATATTAGACAAATTGTCAAAGATCAAATATCTATATGTTAAAAAAAAATTATAAAAGTTATTAAAGTTTTTTTCTTTTCTTAGGGGTAGTTTAATTTAATAAATTGAAATTTACAAATTTTTTTAAATAAATTAAATTAAACTAGAGCTAAAACAATTTTTTCGAAGAATTTAAATTATTATTGCAGCTTTTCAAAAATATTGTGACGAATTAGAATAAAAAATTCAAGTTCCACATTGTAGAAAGATATCTTCGATTTTTAACACATTTATTATAGAATTTATTATTTTTTAAAACAAATATAAATAAAAAATTGATTTTATTAAAATTATATATATATATTTAAAACATATATAAATCCATTTTTTACTTATTTGTTTAAATAATAAAAGTAGATACATATTAATCCTCAGTTAATCGACAGTTCTAGTGTTGAGTAAAGTAAGTGCTAGCAATCAGTCCTAGTATTCTAATTATGCAAATGTGACGCATTTGTTGCGTACCGAATGACCATGACGCGTCGACGTTTGCAAATATTTGCGATAGATCGAACGTCGCATTGACGTAACGGTGCTCATGCAATCCATGACGCATTCGATAACGAAACTCGACAGTAAAGCAAAAAAGTACTACAATTATACGTTCTGTTTCTAATTATAAATTAATTTCACATTTTATTTTAATATTCATTGTCAATTTTTTTTTAAAGGTACTATTTTTTAAGGTTAATTAATCGCGCGAGAGAGAAAGAGGGAGACATTTATTCACACATAATGTTAATCTTGTTTGATTTGTAGTACAATCTCTATAATAGAATCTATTTATACTGACCACCTTAATTAAATTAATTTTTAGTGGACTGGAATGTCTGAGCACGCATTTCCATTTTAATATTCATTTTTAAGTTTTTTTTTAAAGATGATAGAAGGGGAAAATTTTATTATTCAGTTGAAACAAAAGTTCGTAATGCTACTTTATTTGTCTACATATTAAAAAAAAATTTTTTTAATTTCATAATTATACCAGGTGTATATCTATGAAATGCGGATTTTTTTTAAGGAAAAACACATGTTAATTTGAAATGAATGGTTAAAGCTATTTATTTGAAGTATGCGCCATTCGACGCTACAACTTTTTCCCATCTTCTTTCTGGCAAAAGATGGATTCAGCGACGATAGAAACTTTCATCTTTCGAAGCAAACTATGAATCGATCCATTTTTTCACTTCTTCGAAATTAGCAAAGTGCTGCTCAACCAATCCGTGCGCCATCGATCGGAACAAGTGATAGTCCGAAGGAGCAATGTCCGGTGAATACGGCGAGTGAGGTAGCACATCCCAATTCAACTCTTTTAAAGTTTCCTTGACAACTTTTGTGGTGTGAGCGTATTGTCATGTAGCAAAATTACTTTTCCATGTCTTTGAGCCCATTCCGGTTTTGTGATCAATGCATGGTTCAAATTGATCATTTATTGTCGGTAACGAGCAGCATTAATCGTTTCATCAGATTTGAGAAATTCATAATAATAAGCAAGACCCTTTTGATCCCACCAAACACAGAGCATTATCTTCTTTCCGAAGCGATTTGGTCTTGCAGTCGATGTTGATGGTTGGCCTGGATCAACTCATGATTTTCTTCGTTTAGCATTCTCGAAATATATCCATTTTTCACCACCTGTGACGATTCGATATAGAAAACTCTTCCGTTGATGTCTTTTCAGGAGTTCGTGATCGTTGGTGATTTTTCGATTCTCCATCTGTCTTTCAGTCAAATCGTGTGGTATTCATTTTCCTTCTTTTTGAATCTTTCCCATCGCGTGCAATACACCTGGTATTATTCAAAATAAAGTTTCAGCTTTAAGAATTTGTATTTTAAATTGTAGTACACACTATACGATGATTTTTGATGAAATTAAAGTCAAATAAAACGCTCTTTTTATTTAATTTAACATGATTTAGTAACAAAAAATCATAGAAACATTTTATAGAATGATTTTGTAGGAAAAACTTTAAGCTTTCACAAGTTAGAAAATAAAACATTTTTATAAGTTTTTTTGGGTACGTAGTAAACTCACAAAATAAGAAGAAAATTTCTTTGTCAAGTTCGCGTAATATTCCGAGTAATATTATATATGTGTCAAAGTTATTAAACTCACACATACTAAAAAATACAGCTGAAAATCCTTTTTCATAATTAAAATTTTGCTCATTTTTAATGAAATTACTATTGCTTGAATTTTGAAATTCGTAACGCTACTTATTTTGTTCTAACTCAGTACTTCAATTTACATGTCAAAAAGGGACTTGGTTTACTTTAATTTAATTTCTCTTAATCCACATCATCTATCTATATCATCTATTAGTAGGTAACTAAAATCCGCAGCTAAATATTGTTATACCTTTCCCTAAAGTTTATTTTATACATTTTATATTTAAAAAGATAATATTTTTTAAGATTAATTAATTACGAAACACATATATAGTATAAGTATATATATACACACATGCACACAATGCAAACCTCGTTTGAAGTCTAATCTCTATAATGGAACGGCCGCCTCAATTAGGCAGGACTTATTTTCGCCGAGCCGCGATGTTTGAGCGCGCATTCGTAGCCACGCGACACCGCCACGCGCCGCTCGTTATACCCCGTCGCCAATGGCGATTGTTTCCCCTTAACCCCGCAAAAAAATGATTACTCTGAGTCTGCGTCGCCTGGAGCGGTTGGACGCGTTGCGATAATTGCAATGAGTGAATCACGAGTGAGAAGACGAGGGATTTACTCCGCAGAATTCCGCGATCATTTTGCGTCAGCATTTATGACGTGATGCAATTATTATATATGATGCATTCGATGAACCAAAAGGAGACGAAGTATATCTTCGCTTGGACTTTTAGAAAGAGTCCGAATCATTTCTTTTACAACTGTC